GTCTATTCAATTCTGAGAGACCGGTTACAGACTTAAGGAGAACTCTTAATGGTCTCTAATCGGTAACAGTTACTTCATTTCTTACTCGAATTTCTGTATATTCTAGCCAACTCGGTACCATCGTCGTATCAGAAACAAGCGATACTTGTGAGATGGCATACCAGCGTCTCTACAATGCTCTCAACAATTCGTCCAATGTACCCGTAGTGAGTGCATTATCGTTTTCATACTGACACAAATGTTGATTCTGTTTTCAGACTCTATTTTCATATTTTCCATTTTCTTTTTTTTTTTTTCACAGGTTTTTCTAGTTAAATTTATATAGTTCAAAGTCATTAGTAAGGGCCTGTTACTTTTGTTTTTGTTTATGCCTCATTATTTACGGTGATTCAATGATGAGGAGTTTCACACTGCTCTACAATTACAGTATGTACCTTGCAAGATGTCACAGATTGTTTTTTAGGGTGATTCTAATGCCTCCGGAGACTTTCAACGGTCAACCACCGAATGGCAAAGTCGTATTGAGGAATTGCTGGAAAAGTATGAGGTTCCCAGTGCCTATACAAAACAGATCTTGGATACAGCGCTCAAGGCGCAGAAAAATCTGTGGCAACGTGGACTGGTTAGTGTTTTCTATGTTAGGTATCTTCTAAANAAAGTATCCTTACTCTTGGTTTCTGTGCTGAAGGATAATTACGAGAAGTCGCTGTGTGCCCTTGACTATCAGTTGGAGAAGCTTATACAAGATGTGAAGCAACGATGTGAACCCAGTGTACCACGCCCGATATCCAGGTTAGCATTTTTAAGTACTGAACCTAATGCGGTGACAATTTTCCATCCCATTTTCAGCGTTGTTACTATTGAAGCTACCTCTAATGCCCCGATTTCTGTAACACTCGCACATACGGACTCGAGTAAAGTACGTAAAAATGTTTGGTCTATTCCTTTTGCATGTATCAATATTCATTTTTGAGGTACCTCTAACACTGCGTAAGCAAAAAGTCAAGGAAGTATTCCCTCCTTTTGATCCAGAACATTACTCGTTTGCAATTGAAGAGATAGTTGATCGACTGGAGAGACTAGAATCGCTAGCAGCTCAGATGCCTGAGGTAACTTTTTTACATTGTCTGTTTAAGGCCTGTCACATTTTTCTTACAAGGTCTTCAAAGAGGTGCCCGCTCAACTTCGCCTTTATCGTAAAAAATTTGCGACGAAAATCACTTTCCCTATAACCGAGTAAACAGCTGAATATGATAACGATATCACTTATTGTTGTTAGACAAGAAGGCCAGCACCCAACATTCGGATGCGAAATAAGTTTGTTGGATTTTGCAGCTGGCAAAAGAAGTGAGTGGATTAAGACAAGCAGCGAGTATGGGGGGTCGATTGATATGGAACGATATCAATAGTAGGTAAAATCGTCTACAGTATCAGTGCTATGTAAGATCAAAAATCAAAGAGTAACTTTTTGTAGTAACCGACTGTGGGCTTGTTTTCTGGCTTAACTAATTAGGAAGAAGTCATTCCAGTTACGCTATAAGAAAAAAAGAATCGAAATCCTTCCATGTTTTGACTGGCCTATCAACAAGTAATTCAGTCAAGTTTTCTTCGTTTCTTTCTTTGTCATTTTCTTACACGCACAGAGAGGCGGAGTGTACAAAATTTTGGCTCGGACCTTTGGATTCTTTGATTTGTAGCTGCAATGCATGGATATGCCTCAAGTTAGCCTCATAAGCTAAACCAGTGAGACTTGGAAAGAAGGATAGTTTGTCTGGGAAAAAAACTTAACAAATTTACAGAACTACGAACATAACATGCTCAAAGTAAAGGAAGCCGTCAAAGAGAGAATCAATCAAATCAGGCTTCAACGAAATCGACCAATTTGAAGAAGAATCGCTGTGTAAATTGTACTATTTATCCTTGCCTTATTAACACTTTTTTCTGCTAATATTTGAATAATTGCAATTGGTTCTCTCACAATACGATGCTCACTTTGAAGACGTTGTACTTATCGTAAAAGATCTCACTACGGTTTTGTACTGTTTTTTATGCTGCATCTCAGTGAAGCACTATCTCATTATACATAATTTATGCACGAAATATTATACTCGTATTATTATAAATTCAAGCAAAAGAAGCTTTCGGCATGTTTGATGGCTGGAAGTTGTCGTAATACTGCTTTGTAGCCTCGGTCATCAAATCTTCTGTACACTCTGGTTCTTGACCGATGACACGAGCTGAACCATTGATTATTGACTGATTATATCTCGATAGTAAGGCTGCATTCCCTTCTCCAAGTGGAGCTGAGATGTTTGGCTTACATTGGAGCAGCCAGCCACCAACTATAGATCATTGAGTAAGCAAAGTTCAAGTACACGATACGATTTTAGGTTGGGAATAGGGAGAAGAAAAGTGGTACCGTTTGTATTATATACCTGGCCCAAATATTCTACTTCACGAGGAGGAGGGAGCAAGAGGAAAACTTACCTGGATTACCAGCTATGGTGCTGTATGGTGGGAAAACAGAATCAGCTGCAACCACACTCCCTGGCAGAACTCGACAGCACTCTTTCAACACAGCACTGCCTCCAATCACCGATCCAGCACCGATATGCACAAATGAGCATATCTGTGCTGCACTAATCACGCAGTCCTGAAAAAAAAANAAAAAAAAATGTGATCATCCCACTTGTAGTCACTAAATTTGCTTTTAGAACAACTTGTTTCACATCCCAACAAACCTCTTCAATCATAACGTGATCTCCAATGTGAACTGGAAACAACGTGACTCCTTTACTAAATTTCTTCGAACTTGGCCGTATCAGTGTTCCCTTTCGTATGATACAAAAACGACCACTTCGTATGGCGGCCAGATCACCTCGAATTATGACGTCTCTCTGGACAATATTCTGAAAGCAAGGTCGAGCTTAAACTGTATTCATGATGCTATGAACAAGGCAGGATCACAGAAGTTCAAATTTTGATTAAAGAAAATAGTAACTGGAATAGGAAAGTGACTGATAGCCCATTGAGAAGTCTGACATCAAAGAAGGACACCTTTGAAAGAGCAAAACGTAGGACTTTGACTGTACTGGATTTACGCGTATAGCACTTACTCATCAACAGTAAATGCAAAGTTAGAGAAACACAGGGTGAAACTTTCGACACCACAATTACTCGGACTTATTTGCAGGAGTGACTAACCTTGCCGTTCAGGACTATGTTTTGTGTGCCACAGATAGTACTGTCCTTAGTGGAATGAACTTTACATATTTTATTGCCAGAATTTGTTTCTACATATTCTTCTTTTAAATAATTGACTATTGGCAGATCCATACAATTGCCTGAAACTTGTGTCTCATGGTAGCTACGAAAACAAACAGCTTAATAGATCAAAATAATATGCAACAATGTAATGTTGTGACTCGCCAACCTTCATTCACAGTAACACACCAAGTTCGGAAAGAATTTATTTCAAATTTTCTCAGACTATACAAGTGAATTAGAGAGTGCATGTAACGTAAGCAATTTCGTCGAAGGCATCGCTCTATTGAGCCGTCACAAAAATTATTATTCCAATTCACATTGAAAATAGCATTTTTGATTTCAAAAAAAAAATCAGCATCCACTAAGCCTCTGCGATGCCTTCAACTCATCCGGAGCAAATATTCATTTGTTACCAATCATAAACATCAAAGGTTGGTCAAAGTTGCATTGTTGTAATAATCCTATAAAGCACAGAAAAGAAAACAATGACTCGAAGATGAAATAAGTTAACAAAAGCTGACGAGAAAACAAGGTACAATTCTTAAAGGCAATACTTCCCAAACCAATAAGATAAAGGATCAACTGCATCGTTAAGTGAGTGCTCCAAAAACGGGATTGTGCCGACAAATGGAAGGGCCTCTTTCCATATACTCTTCCTTTGTATGTGATACTTTATAGAACTCAGGCTGAAAGGTGAATATTAAAGTAACTTGACAAAAAAGTATTCGAAATAAAAAAAACATTCGAAATAAAGTAAAGATAAAGGCTGGGATCGGTGTAGAAAAGTGTTGAAATTTCAGAGTTTAAACTGGAAACGTTCTGGCCCGGAAGACCCGCCACTACTGACGACAGTAACGTACCGTAGATGCCAACATTGAACCTCCGAACCATACGGCATATCGTTGCATTTTGTGTGATATTACTTGAACGTCAATTGGTTTCGGCTAGAAAGTAATGGCATGTTTTACAGTGCTGATTTTGAGGTCATGATATTTGCCAAGAAGCTCACCTTCAAATGCCCTCCACTGAGAGCTTCACTAATAGCCAGCCTGTTCTCGCTAATCCGTTTTATATCTCGCTGTAGCTTACGAGCAAAATCCTAAAATGTTGCTTTAGAATGATTTAGTGAAGCACTTTTCCCTCGGGATTACTCAAGTAATATACTTTTCCCTCGGGATTGCTCAAGTAATAAAGTTGAAGATAGCCTAGGAGTCCATTGTGTGCATGGCTACACGAATTAGTCAACTAGTACGCAGCAGAGCAGCGCGATTCATTCACTATCGTCGTACCTAACCGCGGGGCCATTTATTGACTGGATTATTTTCTTCAAGACACCTACAGTACGCAGTACTGATCTCAGCGATACATTGGAGTGATCCGCATTACCTTGAACATTGTGGAGCCTCCGGATAAAACTATATTGTCGTATAACCCTCGACGTACATCGATTGGGCACTGTTGTATAACATTATCGATCGTATCCGAAATGGGCGTCGTGAAGTCAGGATTAGCGAACTGCAAAGCAAACAACCATGCGAAAAAGGAGATTATCTGCTGCGTCTTACACATAATTACTCTACGATTTGCACGAAATGAGTAATAACGAAGGCATACCTCAGGATGAAAGAAAATTTCAGGTCCAAGAAAGCGTTCATATCCTACATCCACTACAAATTCCTTCTTAGTGATGTTATTGATACCATGATAAGTTTTTAACCACTTTGAGCCATCCGAATCATATTTCATAAATTCTTTAAGAATGTCAGGGCAAACATAGCAGTACCTTTCCTGAACATAAAGAATACAGTGCCAACATCCATTTTACAGCTAAACAAGTAAACTCTCACCTTAATAGCCTTGGCCACCTCATAGGATTGGTCCGAAGGGATTGTGGGCTCTCGATCTCTCAAGATTTGCTGGATGAAGTAAGTAATGTCCCTTCCAGCTATGGGTATATGCTTGATACATGACCCTATGACATAACCTTCCGCGACTGGTATACAATGGGTTACGCCATCTCCAGAGTCAACAACCTGTACAAAATACAATAAATAGAAAGAAGTAATAGAAATAGCAAGATTGACATCGCATTTGGCGCAACACTTTGCAGGTAACTTTTCGAATTTCTCTAGATGATTCAACTCACAATCAGACTAAAGGAATGACAATTACTCGACATCAGCCGTTAAACATTTACGTAAAGCAGATACGTAGTAACTTACTCATCACTCTGTTGCAGACAAATAAGGCAACGGCTGATTTCTCGCAAACAACTCGGAGATGTATGATGAAAAAAAATCGAAGATGCGAAATCACTTACCAATCCAGTCAACGGACGCTCATTCCCTGGACGAGAGGACCAACTCGCTGCCAATGCAAGAACCGCTTGAACAGCAATGTACAGGCCTGAACTTTTGTGGATAATACTAGCACTGTTTTATCCCTCAACAATGGTCAAGAAGCTGCAGACGCTTATGAATTAAAAATGAATTAAGAAAATGAAGCCTGACATAAAGTGGGTTTGATAGAAATGGATACCTGGGACATTGAAGGATTCAAACATGATTTCTGCAGTGTATTCACGATTTTCCGGAGTGTTCAGTGGAGGTTCTGTCTAAAAAAATAGATAACAGATAAAAATAATATATTCCTTCTCGGAATTCAGATAAGGAAATGAATACGCACCAACAAGAAGAAGTGATCTTCGGGTTCCGCTCTAAGGTACTTGAAGATGCACTGTTCCCAAAACCGCTCCATCAGATCCCAGTCCTCCACAATACCATGACGGATCGGATACTTGACAAATGAAAGCATTTTATAAAAACATCTGTCGTTATGACTGCGGAAAGCGAGTGGATTTTTGGAAAAAAATAAATAAAAATCGGTAAAGCCTATATATACTACCATGCAAAAGAAAACCTCTATTGGAGAGTAAAAACAAGTTTGTAAACTAACTTTAGCAGAGTAGTTTGCAGCAGCTGGCGAAAGAGCTTCATCACCAATGAAGAAGTCGAGGTCATCTATTCGTCCACCAGATGATGTGTTCCAACGTAAAGCCGCAGCATTTGAGCTGGCTACTTTGTCTTTTACAGCAATAGCTGCAATAAAGGATCCTGGTCTACTTAGATGGATTATATTAATGTTATATGAAGCTTTCTGGAAATCCAACTTTCCTTTTTCTTAAACTATACAACAATCCTGTGCAGAACTACTTACCAGATGGAATAATGAACTGAGGCTCACAGTTGCCAGCATAACCCAATTTGGTGTATCCCGTGCCATTGTCGATTACGCAGGCTGGTAAATGACCAGCCATCAGGGCTAGCCTTCAAATGAAACATTTTGGGGATAATTAGTCAGACAATAGTAATTGTTAAAGAAGATAACGGAGGAACGACGAACATTGCGAACGAAAAAAAACAATCAAAAGAACATGAAAACCTTTCGAACAACAGAAATTAATGTAAAAAAGAAAACATTAGTTACCAAAGGAGCAGAAGTTAATCTCATTAAAGTTATGACATTATTTGCAGTCCAAGTTCAACTGCAAATAACAACACATCGAAGAACTCTTTGTTAGGTTAGGCTCAAAAAGAATCAAGAACAGCATCCACTTGAAAGCTTAACCGTCTACAAACAGGCATTACTCATTGCACCGCAAATGTCCACGACAATACAGGGCAATCAATGCAGGACCGCCCATGCAGCCCACCCACAGTGGTGGTTGTGGAGTGGTTCGCTATGTTGTGATTATGGCATGGCCTAACTGAACTGCAAAGTAGGACTACTATAACTTTCTTAAGACCATCGAAACTGGTTAACCAGCCAAGATGCGGCGAGAAAAGATCGTTGAAAAAGGATCACGCGGCTTTCATAGGGATCCATTCAAGGATCTTGAAAGGAAAGGTAGTAAGGTTGAAGAGTAATAAGGTCTCTGAATAGTTTGCCTTTACAGATCTGCTCCAACTCATGGTCAAACCTTGCAAGCTGAGGGCTCTTTTAGTTTCCGCAATCTACTTACAATTAGTTCAACCCAACCCACCGACGGGGGCTATAAATGGGAAGCTGATTACTGCCTTACAGATAGCATGGTCTTCTCTTCCGAATGGAATCTCTATTTCGGCCGCAGATGTTGAGAGTGATACTCGGCCCAGATTATTCCATATATTAATGGAACTATGGCTATGAAAATTGCGGTATAACGATTTATTACGAGTTGCAGAATGAGGTTTGATAAGAAGATAGATCAAGGCAGAAATCGCAAAATAACGAGACGGTTTCTTAATCACATAGAAAATCAGTCAGAAATCAGGAAATCATCATACGAGCACAAACATCTTACAATAATGAATATAGAGAAACAAGCTTGCACATAGGATGGTGCTGAAACAAACAAATTATCTAAATCACCTATATCACAAATCATTTGGGAAAGAAGTTCATCACGATGGGCAATGAATGCTGCATGAAACGTCCGCTATGCCCAGATAAGTCTTGCACCATCTACACCACCACAGCTGCCCCCTTTCCAGCAGGAAATCTCTTGCCTCCGAAACACCATCACCACCAACTCTTAACAACTAGGCTCCACTTTGTGTAACCCGTCCATGTAACCCTACACCTATGCCTGTTCCTAAATTTTCACTTTAAATAAAACTGGTAGGCAGCTGCAAGGCAGAAGTGTAGGTGGCGAAGTTATACATCACATTCATAGCAAATCAGTATAGCATACTCAGAAATAGTACAACTTATTAAAGACGAAATGTCAAAATCAAAGAATTTCATCAAATCCTAGACAATAGAATTGTAATAGAATAAATTAAAAATCTACACCTACAAATAAGTCCATGACTTTTTTTGATATTATAAACGCAACATAAGTATGTCAACGCGTAATTGCTCATGAAACCATATTCTTATACCCAACCTAGTAATAAAACCAAACAAGTCTGCATCAGAACCACTAGGAGCTAAGTCAAAGGAAACGTGATTAATGAGGAAATGAACAACATAAGCTCGACAACACAAAAGGATAAAACTTCTATTAGAAAATGTACTCCTCATCTGATGACATAGTCATATCGATGGCCCAACGGAACTTTTCTCGCAATGTCTTGTTGAACACCTAAAAAACGGTACGTGCCCTATAATTAGCTCCAGATTGGAAGCTTAGCTGCCCTTTCACCAACCTTCTCTATCGGCACATTGAACTTCTTGCACCAAGCCACCGAAATCCTAGGATCCAAGTAGTTAAGCTTTGATGTGCCCAATGCGATTTGCTTGTTCTCGTCCTGGAACCGTGACCAAATCAACGCTCAACGCTCGAGCAGGGGAAAAAATATCTAATGGAAATCATTCCGACTTTTTATGAAAAACGAACCCTGTCGGTCCTGCTGATTTTGAGTTTCTTCAGTTGCTCTTTCAAACGTTCTACTTTCTTCTTCGCCTTCTCCTTAGCAGCCCCTCTAGCCTTTTCCAGTTCGGCCTTAGCTTCTTTCAGCTCCCGCTTTTTGTCTTTTATCTGAAAATGGTGAAGTAATTAGAAAACATCAGAAATAGTTCAAGACCGAATACACCTTCTGCTCCAAGTTCTCCATAGCCTTCTCATGACCTTTCGGCACTGCACGTTGATGGTTACACAAGATCGCAACCATTCGATTTGCCCTATTGTATGAGAGCATCTTCTGGTGAACATTGTCGTCGGCTAGAATTTCCACTATCTCATAACGCTTTTTTCACAGTGGTCATTGAAGGAGGCTGTTTTGCGAGAAAAAGCGTCATGCTCACAGAACATGTCACATGATCGGATACAGTGAAATCCATTTTAATACTCCTTCACAAATGTCCCTTCGACGACCCAAACTAATACGTACAATCAAAACATACGATTTGTCAATTTAGCTAACTGTTGCTGTAGAGTGATTGATGCGTTGTAGGTACGGAACACCTTTACAGTAAGGCCGTCCATAAGAGAGCGTAAATGTTCGTTGAGTGAAGCAGTCTGAAAAAAAAGTGCTCATCTAAAATGTTTTATTTGTTATTTATTTATTTTGCTAGGAACTATAAAACTCTTAATTTCCGTATAACCCACATCAAGCCTATCGAAGAGATCGTCTCCAGGTTCTTTGTTATCCATGAATAGCTGCAGATTTTTGAACACCCGCTTCTCGACTGGCACTTGGTTGAAATAACGTATGGAATCCTTACCGAGAAAGTCAAACTCAACCACGTATCTGAAGAGAAATTGAGATAACTTCCTCCACTGAAAAACTTCAGAGTACCAATACAGCAAGATTATAAATATAGTAACACGAACTCTTTGTCGTCAAGCTTTTCATATAACTTGATATGTTCACAACGCAGTGAGCAACAACCAACAGTATCAGCTGCTTCGTCAACGTCCTTCTCGTTACCTGCTCGAAGAGCGAGCTGAATTTCGGAAAATTACTCCTGTTCACTGACTGCAATCATCTAGAGCAACACTAGAACGAGAGAAGTCGAGAATCTGACCTTATCAATAAAGTAGAGTGCAACCGCTCTCTGTCGTACACGCATCTCCTTCGATTTCCAGTCGGCTGTATAAACTGCTCTGATGTCATCAATTCGCGACTTCAAACGTCGTGCAGTTTCGTACTTCTCATAATCTTTTTCACCCTGAAAATTTGGTATCATCAAACATGGAACCGTGCCTGAATTGCTCTCTGTGCTGACCTTGATCTTACTACTTGGATTCAACATGATGTATTTATTTTGTCCTAAGACGTTCTCAGTCCACGATACTAGCCACGTTACTGTATTATCGTGTCGGACCTCCTTCCACTTGTGACCATCAGGAGCTACCGGAATCTCGCTATCCCTAAAAGAAGTGGGAGATTTCTGAGTCAGTCTAACACCAACCACAAAAGAATAAAAAACTTTAAACTGACTTAGAGCAGTTGATAATCACATCTTCGGGTCGAATTCGTTTCTTAAGCATACCCATCTTTGGGTGACCACCGCGACCACGGAACAAACCTGATGAAGATTAACTGTATACGACAAACTCGATCAAGGCGCTCAGGACTGACTTACCAGGAGGCTCTATCCTGAAGTTTCCAACTTTTTGCCTATGACCATCAATGTAGGCAACACCATAAATTTTGGCCTCGGCTTCTTTGGCTTCCTAAGATAAACAAATCCCCTGAATGATTTGGTTTCAATTGAATTCTTTACTGGCAGAATACCTTGATCTTAGCCTTCTCTTCCTTGCTCATAGACTTTCGAATTTCAGACTGCTCCTTGAAATAAACATCCATCTGCCGGAAGTCACACTTGCTAAGGTCAGTGATCAGTTCGCGCTCAGCAGGAGTCATCACCTGAATACTGCCCGTGAGGAAACATGCTGGCAGCCGATACCAGTCCATGACATGACTGTCGTGAGAGTGATATATAATGGATGCTCATACTTTACCTTTCGCCAGTCACGGAAGAAGTTCTTATTAAACGCATCTTTTGTAGTGTACTCGTGATCCAACATTTTTGCATAAAACGTTGCCACTTCTTCCGCTTCCTCGGAGAGGAGAACAACCTAAGAGAAGAAGAAATCAGACTATCTATTTATTCATTTCTAACACACATGAGCCTATTAAAATAGAACAAAACTTTTAGAAAGCAGCTACCTTCCCATCATACTTAAATTTCACGTGCTCAGGCAGGCGTACATAGGGTGGAGCAAAAAGTGGCCCCTTGTGATGAAGGCTATTCCATTTTACACCAGCCGGCTTCTTCTCTTCCTTCCACCTAAGAATTTGCGTAGTGCGACTGGAGGGATGTAACAAAGAAATGACATATTGTTTACTTAACAAGCTTACCACTCCCAAACGTCTTCTGGTTCCTCCTCCTTCTTTTTTCGCTTCTGCGGTGGTTCGCCGTTCTCCTTCTTAACGTCCTTTTTAGAAGACTTGCTTGACGATGATGATTTCTTCTCCTTCCTGTCTTTTTCCTTCTTCTTCTTTTTCTTAAAATAGCTACTTAAAAATGAAGGGAAAGAAATTCTCAGTCAAAGACGTCACCGCATTCAACCACAACAACCCACGAGCAGTATGCCTCAAACTGAGCATGGAACTAAAAACGTCAGCTGAATCAACATCTTACCTTGTTGTACTCATTATAGTCATCTTCACTATCACTCTCGTGTTTCTTTTTCTTTTTGTCTTTCTTTGCTTTCTTTTCTTCAAAGTCTGAATCAGCTTCGATCTTCGGTTTCTTCTTGGCCGACGGCTGCGAATCTTTCTTCAGCCTTTGAGACCATGGAACGTCATCCTCATCCGATACCTAATCAAATCCTCGGATACCGATTTACTATTCGAACGAGGTGCAAAATTATTGGGAAGACACGTTTAACGAAAGCTCCACAAGGGACATTTCATCCAAGATGTGACATTTTCGCCGACCGGTGATCGGTGATCTGAGAGTGAAATTCCACGTCCTTGATGTGACTGCTTTCCGTGGTGGTAATCGTACAGGAATCTAACACTCACAACCAAATAGCCACTGATGAGAAAAGAAAATGTGCATGCAAGATCCAAACAAAACAAATGAGTGAAGATGTACAGCTAGCAGCTCCCAGGAAGACTCGAAACCATACACGACACACGTTACACAATGGTGATAAAGCACAATTACCTCCAGATACACCAAACCCACCTCAGGTTTGTATTCATCCTCGCTGTCACTTCCACCCTTTCTCTTTTTATCCTTCTTTTTGTCAGACGATTTACCGTTCTTTTCTCTTGCCATACGTTCAGCCCACGGAATGTCATCGTCGTCGGAGTATTCCTCTTTCACCTAAAGTTTCAAAATGAACGTTTCAATAAGCTAATTCAATACTACACTCTGTAGCCGCTTCAGACCTTCGGTGGTGGAGCATTCTCCTTCTTTCTATGAGTAGCTCCAGCGGCTGCCGCAGCTAGTGCGGCCTCGAAGGAACCCAAGGGCGGCTGAAAAACACGTGAAAGTCACTTATCTTTCTTGGCAATGACACTAGACCTAACCTCCTCCTTGATTCCTCTGGTCTCCTCTTCCTCCATCGAGTAACTTCCATTGGCGTGTTGGCTACCGTAATCACTGGAAACAACAAAGAAAGTGAAGTGCAAGTGGCAATCCCGCAACTTGAGATTGGGCGTTTCAAACTCCTATGCTCAACACTAATTCGATTCCGATTACTCACATGGTGACCTATTTCTCGTTTTTCAGCGTACCGATTAATCATTAAGAACATTTGATGGTGGGATTGAACATTTACATTCTCTAAAACCAACCTGTCTCCGCTACATAGCTCCGATTTATTCTGATTATCAGTCAGTATAGGCGTTGAAGCTACGTCAGCCATATGGTTTACTAAGCAGGTTGAGCACTATGCAGACGCGAATGCTGAAAGCTCAACGATTGGTTAGAAAATGATTCATACTACATACATATCATATCAAGCACAAACGAATAGGCCACGTATGACGAATCTATTTGGCATGTTTCATGACCCACCACCCATCCACCTGACATCCTTCTCATTACTGAGTTTTTCAGAAATAACGATTTTTGCTCCCACCTTTGCTGTAAACTGCCAGTGAGCACATGACTTTGATTGGAGCAAAAAACTACACCGCGTGGTAAGCACATGATCTTGATATGGAACAGCAGAAAATCGCAACTAGCACTGAGAGGCAGAAGAACTACACCGTAACTACTGCCCGACAACCTGCCCTCTGAGAATACCATTTGCAAATTGTAGCTTAAGTGAAAAGAATGCTGTTCAAGACAGTGAAAGGAAAGAAAGCGGGTACAACACATAGTAACGTGAAGAACTGAATTCGCGAAGTTCAGGCGCGCAGGCGCGATGCGGCTCGACGTGTTCTACAGTTTTATGAGGTGCTCAGTGTCATCGCTCAACGACGCTGGCAAAATGTAGCTGTGGTACACCATCTTGACAGTCCCTTTTATCATTATTGCTGCAACTTCGAAGAGAAACCATCTCAAAATAGTTGGCCTGAATGTGTAGTGACAAAAGAGCTTAACAAGCACTGTTCTGATCCCTTTACCGTAACTCCACTATTATTTCACATTACTAGTGGTCGTAAAACGGCATTGCGACGCGTTGGAGGAAGCAAGATTGCGATAACGGTGACAACTTGGTTGCGGACTCACTCCACAATCCGCCATTTCCATTCTTGGGAAGGACACTGGGCGTGATCAGATTAGAGGATGCCAGTTCGAATCAAAGATAACCAAACTTCCACTGATGCGGAATGTTTCCCTGAATCAGGCGGAAAGATGTGCCAATCTCATGTCTATGAATTTCACTATCCTCTACAGTACCCTGTTTTCTTACCCTCTTCGCGAAGTAATATACAGTACCTCGATTCTATAGTAACGTTGTTTTCCGCCACGAGGGTGACTTCTGAGCATTCGTTGTAAACAGCTCTTAGCAAAATGACGCATATTCGGAATTTGTGGACCGTCCTTAATCAATGCGCCAGCACCAAATGGTGCATATTCCCGTAGAATCATAAGAAATGAGCGCGATCGATAGGCCCAGTCAGTCTTGTCGTCGTACACGCAGTCTGCGCAAGAGCGTCAGCTCTTATGCTTCGTGCACGTGTCGATTGCGACTCGCTACGACGTTCGCACAAATCATTAGGCCATCGCCAGGACTTCAATTGCCCTGATGTCAAGTCCACTTGCCCTATGCACGATTTTCAATTGCCAAGAAGCTGATGGAACATCCAACGTGTCGGTTACGGAAGGGTTCAGTCCGTAAAAGGTCATACCTCCCAGGGCGTCCAAAGACTAACCACGTCCACATGGGCAATCTGCTGACGCCATAGCTGTCCCAGCACCGAGCGCGTTGTTGTTGTGGAGAAACTAATCAATGCGAAGGTTCTGACCACGGCAGCTCAAAACTGGGCCGTTTTTCCATATGACGTAGCGACTATCCAAAGACCAGTTGCTGCTTTGTGGAACGTGTCCTTCATTTCCTCTTCTTAGTAATGACTTTCAAAGTAATTAGCGGAGTTTTAGCTAAAGTGCACATAAGATCAGGCTGAAAACGAAAAAGTTTCACTGCATCTGCTTCATAAATCCATGTCAACATCCGTGTTCGAGTAAAAAGGATCGCATCAGGCACGGCACGTGTGTCGCATAGTTTAACACTGAGTAAGGCGGCACATCGAATCAGAAATAGTCAAATTAAGCCAAATAAATGAACGATCCGGCAAAAAACCTGGACGCATGGGATCGTCTTGATGATCGTTACTTTATAGGAGACAGACGATTAAAATGAACTAATGGGCTTGTCAGGGATCTACTACGTGGCCAGGACTTAGACGCTGGGGCAGGCAACACTGCATGATGCGGCGGCGCAGAGACAAAGTCCGAGTGAACACCCGGACTTAGAAAAAATCGAGGCAATGCCGACCGCTGCGCGCACACCCGTGGAATGGATTCGCGGCGCGGTCGCCAAGGTACGGTAGTTAGTGGCTAAATTGAAAACGGTCCGCAAAATTTTCAAGTGAATTCCATTTCATCCAAACTGCTGTGTCTAAACGTTTTTCATCAAATTATTGCAGAAGTCCTTCTAAAATGAGTAGAACTTGTAAAACGATAGACTAGAGGCTCAGCGAAGGCTTGAATGGCTTCACACTTGATGATGAGTAGGCTGAAGAAGCTGATTACTTAACATCTTCTCTATTAAGTGATTAACAATTAATTTGGCGAATTGAAGTGAGACTGGCCACAACACAAATTACAATTCTTCGTTTTACCCACATTTCTTCACCATTGGGTTTATTACCCTAAACGGTTACATCGAGGCAGAAACAGTCAAATTCCCTCGGAACAGCTTTTAGACCGGAAGACAAGTAATTCAGCACGGGAAAGTGCTTAGCACTGAATTTCAGTATATAATCCGTTGGACGCTAAAGCTCTCTCCTGCGTGGAAGGTTGAGTTGATAGTAGCGGGAACGTTCGATGGTTGCTGATAAGAAATTGGAATATTTCATTGGAATTCACAAGTTTCAGGGAGAATGAAGCCCGTCCCACTTGTCGCACATAAACGATTGGAAGCAAAACGAGCGGTGAGGCGTATGGCGAAAAATGTCCGTACTTCGTTGCGATTTTCAGGAAATGGGGACAATAGAAAATTCTGGCAAAATCTGGAGAAGTGAGGTGATCAACATGTTTTATAGTATTGAAAACATTTTCACTAGCTATCGCTGGAAAAATGTTCTCTGTGGTTGTCGCACAACTTTGCTTTACTACTTATTAGAAACCTTAGTTTTGCAAGTTCATCACCACGTTGGATTAAGAACAATTAAGTCCCGGCATTAGATCCATACCTCCTTGCGAATCGCCAGACTACAGCATATGGCTAATGGTTCAGTTGAAGCTCATTCGAACCAACCCAACAATCCACCATTCAAGCTCTACAATGGGTGAAATTCTATGATGGAGTGTTCTTTGGAACGTTGGATAGACGACCTTGTATCTGCTGTCCCTGGCCTTCGCAAACAGTCTCATGTACCATACCAAAAGTACTGTAAAAGAACTTTGAAGGAGTTATTTTTTGTTTTTCTAAAGATTGTGATAGTGTGAGTCCTACCAAGACGGGAAATTCCAGGTCGCAGACTGATGAAGCTTCAAAAATCTGTGCTAAGCAGCTCCTGCTTTTGCGGTTCGAGCTCAAGGTGGTTATTCTGGAGAGAATTGTTGTGCTAACCAACTTTTTGCTACTTAGGAGCTTTATTTACCCTACATGATTCATTGTTGTTGCAGGAGGCCCTTCGTGCGGCATGCTCAGATGAAAATTTTGTTGAGGAAATGGTGTTAAATACAGGACTGGCCAGAGAGTCTGTTGTCGCTATACTCCAAAAGCATGGATATCGTGATGAAACTGAGAGGAACTCGCAAGATATCGGTATTTCTAGTAGTTTGAAAATGTTTGAAATGAGAAAGGATTGATTGTTCGCCCGTTTGGCATTCCTATTATAGAAAATGAGGAATATAAGGCCATCACGCCTAAATCAACAAACAGTCGATCCAAAGAAGACAACGTTGCAATCGATGTGCCAAAAATCGACATATCAGAAGTTCGCAACGATAGACATTCTCCAGAGGACGTAAGCCCGTGAGTTTCTCCTTCTAGCTCACTGTTTTTGTGTTTGTTCTTCTAGCTCACTCCTTTGTGTTAACTATAGCGATTTTAGCGTAAGTGCTCACGTTGCATTTGAAGAAATTCCACAGAGTCCTAGAATCCAGCAAATTCGCAAAGCTTCACCTCGTCGAGGAGCAGTAAGTTTGCACCAATACCTCTTGTTCTCAGATACGTTTTTCCATAGTTGATCACTTCTGTCTCTTGTTTCCGTAGGCTGAACAATATGTGGAAAGTAGCCCACGCGAAGTGACTGATAGTTCGGCTGAGATAAGCGACTTGGCGAAGCGGGTAGGCTGCCTTGTGATCTTCTCTTTTTTCTTTTCTCTATCCCTTTTTAATAAAAATAAAAGTAAAATGAATCTTCTATCTGATTCAGTTTGGTGCTCGCCTTTATGAAGATGCCACGCTTGTTGATCGGCTTCGAAATGTTAATCGGGAAAAATCTTTTGTGGAACAATTACGCGACATTATTTCAACTTCCGCCACTCTGTCAACTGTGCAGCTCAAATTTATTCCCTCCGTGCCCTTGGGTATTTCTTTTCGAGGTGCTACGTTGGTAGCTTGAGATGGTAGCCATTACTTGCTGAGTTTTAGCTAATCCAACTCATGGTGCCACTATTTGTAAGGAGATTGACGTGCAGACCTCCATTTGTGTCACTGAGTTGCCAGTTCCAACTAAGGAGGTAATTAGCATTTTTCCAAACTCTTTCTTTCACTATGAAACATTGGTTTTCAGCTGCGCGATCATGCTACTGATGTCCCATCACTTGATTACCTTTCCACATCTGATTTGGGTGGCTTAAAACAACTTCCTGAAGCGTTTACCACTCAGGAAGATGCGTCGTCTTCTGCCCTTAGTTCGGACCAAAGTGCAGGTCAAATCGTCGGAAGCATGCTCAAGTATGTGTTACAATATTCGTTATGACTCCGCTTATTCGTTCATGTTCCTCTCTCTCAATTTTCAGTAGAGCAAATGCCATAATTCCGTTTGGCCATGATGGAAGCCTGCAAATTACTCCAGCAAAAACAGTGCGAGTCTCAGAAGTGGTGGAAGATTCTTTACTCAGTGGTGCGGAGAGAGATGATTTGCCATTCCGGGAGCCTACTTTTAAAGTTCCTTCCAGTGAGTTTGAAGTTTCGAGGTTTTCAACCTCCCCCATTGTTCGAAGAAACTACGGAAAAGGTGGCAATTGAAGCATTTCCGCTCGGGAACGGGACCCAGCCTTTACTGCAATCTCTTCCATGAGTTTTTCGAAAGCTGCACATTATAGAATTGATATATATATATATATATATATATATATATATATATATATATATTCTAAGGACCGACGGGAGAAGTGAGTCCTCGAACCCCCAGGGTCTCGGAATCACCGTCATGCCGACCATGGCGGCCGTCGTCACGTCGTCTCTACCTTGAAGAAGTGGAGATCTCCAGTAGTCAGGACACCGATTTGGGTAGTCTAGTTTTCCTTTAGAAATTCACATAAATTGTTTTGTTTCTTTGCACTTTGTTCCTAAATCGATTGTTTTTGTAGAAGTGGTATCTCTGAACACTCCTGAGGCGCGTCGGCTGTTGGCAGAAGTCTCAAGTATGGCCCGAAGAGAGGATGTGAGCTGTTCGAGAGGCAGGAAGGAATCAAGAAACGGCAAGGATACATGTGATAGTCCCTGCTGTGCTAAATTCTGTAGTTGTATATTATTGGAGTTTTTAGATATTGTCAAAGACGAACATTCTACAAACAGTTCGGATTTAAGTCACCAGGATGAAGAACACACATACAACCAAGTTTCACAGATTGTCAGCGAATAGAAAATCAGTTCTAACTGAGCTTTTTTATTATTTATTGATCGACTATGTTGTAACAATCAGGTATCGGAGATAGCCACTGAGCGAAGATACAATTCGAGTGGGCTTTTTCTTAAGGATGATTGATTTAATCCTGTTGACATTGTTGAGTACCTATCGTGCGACTTTGATGATAGATTTAGTATTGGTAGGTGGCCGTAGCCGTCCTTGACCCGCACCACGTCCTTCAAATGCTTTCTTCGATGATTATGCCACCAATATTATAAACAATAAGTGTTGCCAATTTTGCAACTTTCTTTATTTATTCCTTTTAAGTATTTTCAGCATCGTGGTCTCTTTCAGCAATGTTATTGATCTCATTATGCCATTTATGTATGTAGTCCGTTATAAACTGTACTGCTGAGGTATACCGTCATGGTAGTAGTGTTAGATTCATTTCCATATCAGTATATCGTTTAATTCCACTTCCGATATATTCGTTATGTCGTGTTACCATACAGTAGCACCGCCTACAGTTGAAAATCTGAAGTCATAGATCTTATTTGGGGGGAGCCCGAGCATACTTGAAGGGGCAAATAATTAGAACGGTCTTGTATTGACTAGATAGAAACGAGTATGGTAGTGGCATGAAGCGTGGGCTTAAGGCGCAGCACCACTCACAGTTGTTTCTCGAATGCTGTTGTGTCAGCAATACCTTCGGGACGAGATTTGTACTAGATGAAGCATATGGAACAGGAGAAGCACGAGTCCTTTTCTTTCCTATGTGGTGTTCGCGTTTAGAAACGGGTTCTGGCTTCTGATAAGAAAATGGTTAATGTGACATTCCGTCACCGGAGTCGTAAGGCGCGATTCGCATCCTGAGAGAGGGTGTTTGTCCTCCAAGTTGTGGTTTACTGATTGACTCACTGATAAGGAGACTCAGGTAACAACAGTACTAGGTCGGTGCTCGTTCACTTCATAACAAGCCCTGCGCAGAAGTCGAAGTCCAGATCCTAATATCGTCTTATATGGTGAAACGAAATTTAGATGTTAGTGGGCAATATTGTGGAAGCTAGGTCAATGTCATTAGGAGAAGTCGAGGAGGTTTATTGCGTAAAACCCCATCGATCCAAAGATAAGGGACTCTCGAGCTCCTTTTGCGGAGATCTTTCTTTTTTCGAAAAGAGCGCATCGCCGATAGCTGGTAAAGAAAAAGTGGTGGTTTCTTCTTCAAAACAAGCAACTATTACCAAGCCTACGAGGTAAAGTCACCATGATGGGAAGATGATTCGCGGGAAGCCACGACCGTCGCTCAGTTTCGATTAAAGCCGATTAATGAGAATAGTAACTATGAGAATAG